GACTGGATCCCATCCCCTCCCTGACGAGTTTTTTGTCCGGCACAATCCGGCAACGCGAGAATTCTGGAGTCGAATAATGGTTTCTATATGTCTTCCTTTGATGGCCCATTGTCCAAAGAGCCCCCGTACCGTGTCCTGGTATTTATTTTATGTGCTTCAGCGTCCTAGAGTGGGAGCGGGTTATGTTTTTGTGTGATTTTTATTGGAGCGGTTAGGCTTGAATTTAAAAGTCCTCGGGAGCTATTTATTATATGCTGAGTGATACTTTATTTTATCATCGTTTCTCTTCCTCTCATGGAGAGGGTTATTTTGTGAGAGGGAGTGGTAATGGTGAAAATCCGTGGTTTATTTGGAGAGAAGAACTTTTTTTTTATTTTCTTATTGGGAAAGAGTTCATTTTTGGTGTGATGATTTTGGAAACAAATTGTTCCTTTTTTTTTTTTTTTTTTTTTTTTTTTTTTTTGAATTGTGTGGTGGAAGCAGTTTTGTCCCATTCCCATTCCAAGAATAAGGTGAAATATATTACTTTAGATACAGTCTGTTCTATATTTATTGCTTAAGAAGCAGAATTAAATCTTTCGTTTAAAATGGAAAGCATTTTATACTAATTCGGAAAATGAGCTTTTTGCAGTCTAATCTCATTGTTAATAATAATTGTTAATGAATCATTATTATGGTACATTTTATTATTTATTATTTATTACTTATTTCTTTATTACTTATTTCTTTATTATTTATTACTTATTACAAACTTATTTAATTTGTAACAGTATTTGGTATTTTGAACATGTTTGTTAATCTCTTTAAATAGATTTGGAGAGATTCCCATTGAATGAATAATAGCAAAAATATATTGTAAATAATATTTTACTGAATAATAGGAAGTAAAATTTTACCATTAAATTCACTCGTAGTAATTTACAAATAGGTATCTTATTATTACAATAAGTGATAGCAAAACGCAACAATTGTGGAAGAAATCCTCAAATACATATATACAAAATTTCAATCCTAAATTACAGAAATCTTCTTTAATTATGGAAAAATAACTACAAAGGCAAAGATCAATAACTCACGCAAAAGCACTTTTTTAAAACAATTTTCGGAGAGAATAAAAACTTAAAGTTCACATGAGTAAAAAGTAAGATAGATATTTTTGAAAGGAAAATTTCACATCAAGAAGAAGAGGAAGGGGCCCGGAGAATGGAAGGCAGAATTTTCTCCCCACTGCCATCCAGAAGGTGATGATTTTCCATCCTCCAAGAAGCTTCGAATCTTCCATCTCTTCATACGTCCATATATTTTAAGCACTCTTCTGCGAAACGACCGGATCCCATCCCCTCCCTGACGAGTTTTTTGTCCGGCACAATCCGGCAACGCGAGAATTCTGGAGTCGAATAATGGTTTCTATATGTCTTCCTTTGATGGCCCATTGTCCAAAGAGCCACCGTACTGTGTCCTGGTATTTATTTTATGTGTTCCAGCGTCCTAGAGCGGGAGCGGGTTATGTTTTTGTGTGATTTTTATTGGAGCGGTTAGGCTTGAATTTAAAAGTCCTCGGGAGCTATTTATTATATGCTGAGTGATACTTTATTTTATCATCGTTTCTCTTCCTCTCATGGAGAGGGTTATTTTGTGAGAGGGAGTGGTAATGGTGAAAATCCGTGGTTTATTTGGAGAGTATTTTTTCTTTTTCTTTTTTACTGGGGAAGAGTTCATTTTTGATGTGATTTTGAAAACAAATTGTTCCTTTTTTTTGTTGGAATTGAGTCGAGGAAGTAGTTCTGTTCGATTGCTATACCAAGAATTAGGTGGAATATATTAGTTTAGATACAGGCTGTTCTATATTTATTGCTTACGAAGCAGAATGAAATCTTTCTTTTTATTATGAAAAGCATTTTACAATAATTCAATAAATGTTATTTTTGCAATTTAATGTTATTTTCACATAAATGTATTACATGATAAAATATAATAATGCATTAGAATGAAATTATTTATTTTTTTATAATGTTGGTATTTTGAACATGATTGTTAATCTCTTTAAATAGATTTGAACAGATTCTTATTTGAATGGACATTACGTAAAAAGGAAATTTAATATTGTAATAATAATATAAGAATATAATACCTTAGTAATGTAATGTATATTGTGATATAAATATTGATAATTTCGATATGTAAGGCAGGCATCTTCTTTAATTGTAGGGAAAAAATGCAAAGGCAAAGATTAATAACTCACGCGGAAGCATTTTTTTCGTTCCACTCTTTTTAAAACAATCTCCGGAGAGAATAAAAACTAAAAGCTCACAAGAGTGAAAAGTAAGATAGATATTTCTGAAAGGAAATTTTAACATCAAGAACAAGAGAAAGGGGCCCGGAGAATGGAAGGCAGAATCTTCTCGCCACTGAAATCCAGAAGATGATGATTTTCCATCCTCCAAGAAGCTTCGAATCTTCCATCTCTTCATACATCCATATATTTTAAGCACTCTTCTGTGAAACGACTGGATCCCATCCCCTCCCTGACGAATTTTTTTGTCCGGCACAATCCGGCAACGCGAGAATTCTGGAGTCGAATAATGGTTTCTACATGTCTTCCTTTGATGGCCCATTGTCCGTATTTAATATATTAAATAATCCGTATTAAATAATATCCGTCCGTATTAAATAATACCGTGTCCTGGTATTTATTTTATGTGCTTCAGCGTCCAAGAGCGGGAGCGGGTTATGTTTTTGTGTGATTTTTATTGGAGCGGTTAGGCTTGAATTTAAAAGTCCTCGGGAGCTATTTATTATATGCTGAGTGATACTTTATTTTATCATCGTTTCTCTTCCTCTCATGGAGAGGGTTATTTTGTGAGAGGGAATGGTAATGGTGAAAATCCATGGTTTATTTGGAGAGAAGAACTTTTTTTTAATTTTCTTATTGGGAAAGAGTTCATTTCTAAAGTGGTTTTGAAAACAAATTGTTACTTTTTTTTGGAATTGAGACAGAGGAAGTAGTTCTGTTCGATTCCCATTCCAAGAAAAAGGTGAAATGTGTTACTTTAGATACAGGCTGTTCTATATTTATTGCTTACGCAGCAGAATCAAATCGTTCTTTTAAAAAATGGATAGCGTTTTTGACTAATTCTAAAAATGATATTTTGTAGTTTAATATTAATTTCACATAACTGTACTACATAATAAAATATAACAATACATTATAGTGATATTATGTACGTTTTTATAATGTTGGTATTTTGCACATGATTGTTAATCTCTAATTCTCTTGTCTCTGTTCTGACTAAAAAGAAAAATATAGTATGAATAATATTTTACAAAAGATATTTTACTGAATAATAGGATGGTAAATGCTACCACTAAATTCAGTTGAAATAATTTACAAATTAATTCTATTTTTGAAAAAATAATTGACAACAATACACAACAATTGCGGAAAAAAATCCTCAAATACATATGTTCAAAATTTCTATCCTAAATTACAAAAATCTTCTTTAATTGTACAAAAAAATACTGCAAAGGCAAAGATCAATAACTCCCACAAAAAGCATTTTTATAAAACAATCTCTCCAGAGAATACAAACTAAAAGCTCACAGGAGTAAAAAGTAAGATAGATATTTCTGAAAGGAAAATTTCACATCAAGAAGAAGAAGAGAAAGGGGCCCGGAGAATGGAAGGCAGAATCTTCTCGCCACTGCCATCCAGAAGGTGATGATTTTCCATCCTCCAAGAAGCTTCGAATCTTCCATCTCTTCATACATCCATATATTTTAAGCACTCTTCTGCGAAACGACTGGATCCCATCCCTCCCTGACGAGTTTTTTGTCCGGAACAATCCGGCAACGCGAGAATTCTGGAGTCGAATAATGGTTTCTATATATCTTCCTTTGATGGCCCATTGTCCAAAGGGCCCCCGTACCGTGTCCTGGTATTTATTTTATGTGCTTCAGCGTCCTAGAGTGGGAGCGGGTTATGTTTTTGTGTGATTTTTATTGGAGCGGTTAGGCTTGAATTTAAAAGTCCTCGGGAGCTATTTATTATATGCTGAGTGATACTTTATTTTATCATCGTTTCTCTTCCTCTCATGGAGAGGGTTATTTTGTGAGAGGGAATGGTAATGGTGAAAATCCGTAGTTTATTTGGAGAGAAGAACTTTTTTTTTTATTTTCTTATTGGGAAAGAGTTCATTTCTGATGTGATTTTGAAAACAAATTGTAATTTTTTTTTTTTGGAATTGAGACAGAGGAAGTAGTTCTGTTCGATTCCCATTCCAAGAAAAAGGTGAAATGTGTTACTTTAGATACAGGCTGGTATATATTTATTGCTTACGAAGCAGAAGAAAATCTTTCTTTTTTATTATGGATAGCGTTTTACACTAATTCGAAAAATGAGCTTTTTGCGGTTTAATGTTAATTTCACGGAAATATATTACATAATGATAACATTTTATTTGTATGAAATTATTTAATCGGATATAGTATTTGGTATTTTGAAGACGATTGTCAATCTCATCAAATAGAATTATTACTATTATTATATCTTCTGAATGAAAATGACATATATATATTTAAACAATGATAATAGTGATTCGGAATCCACTTTAAATAGTAGATCCTGGTCTTATACGGCTATAGAGCGTTGTTAGTAAAGATAACAAGCCTATCCCGGAAAAAGAAATTATCTCCTGTCTTGAAATCTGGCAATAGGCAGACAACCTTGGCCCATCATGGGGTTGTTACACTAATAAGAAATATATCATCATTGTTGTTGTTCTTCTTCTTTTTCATGTGTAAACTGAACATATACTGAAATTAAATTAAATTCGTATATATAAAGATATACTGTATGGGTCTGCTTTTTAATATTAGTCTCGTTATTAATGTTTAAACATTTAATTTACATCTTTTTATGTGTATAATTTAAATATTTTTGAAGATCATTAATTATATTATTTATTTTGTGTATATTGAATATATTTTTTTTTCTTCGAGCCAACGGCCATACCATGCTGAATATACCGGTTCTCGTTAGATCACCGAAGTCAAGCATCATTGGGCGCGGTCAGTACTTGGGTGGGTGACCACCTGGGAACACCGCGTGCAGTTGGCATTCACAAATTTGGGACCTGAATGGCCGAGTGTCTAGCGCTCTGGCGCTCGGTGTCACAGGTTTCGGGTTCGAATCCCGGCGGTGCCATGGATGTTTGTAGCGGTTCGAAATCCACTTTAAGCTGTAGGTCCCGGTCTCCTATGACTGTAAGAGCGTCACGGAGCCAAAGTCAGACTTCTACCTACGGGTGCTCCATCACAACAGAAGCTGCTTCCTTCCCCTTCAATCATGAGTACGTATGGGCTCATGGGCTTCGCCAGCCAAGTGGTATAAGAAACAACAGCAACAAACATATTTTTTTCTATAAGATAAAATATTTGGTCTGAGGTACGTATACTGTATTTTTGATATCAGTAGTACATGATTTTATATATTATTCTTTATATTTTACACATCAATATTATTTTTTTTTTCATAATTTTCTCTTTAAATAATGCCAAGAAAAAAAAAAAAGTATTTTTATTCACAGGTCGTTTATTAGATGTAGTTCAATTAAAAATTAAGAAATAAAACTTGCTTCATATTAAATAGAAATAAAAGTTTAGTATAATATAAAACTTGCTTCGTATCAAGTTTAAATATTTAAGCCAATTTGCTTTATTTTTAAGACAATTAAGCATTTGTTTATCCAATCTTGTACTTTTCCTTATTATTCAAAACAAGTTGTTCTTTATTATTTTTATAGTGATTTAAACTTTCTCATAATTTAGCATGAGTTACATTTCTATTTATTATTTACTCTAAAGCATGTATTAAGATTATTTTTAAAAATTATATGATTTATATTATATGAATTATATGATTTATATTTATATTTATTTAATTATTTTTGATGACCACTAAAGATATTAACATATAATTAAAAAAATCATTATATACCAAATCTAATTATATTGAAATCCTACTTTATTTTTTATCTATAAGGAATAAACAATCTATATGAGATATATTATAGGAAAATATTCTCCTATAATTTATATTATAAAGAGGAAAATATCCCTTTCAATTAACAACTATATCTGTCACATATTTTAGCTCATACAATGACAAATATTTAAAACTAAAACTAAAGATGTTAATGTATAATAAAATAATTCTTATATACCAAATCTAATTATGATAAAGGTCCTACTTTATTTTTTATCTATAATGAATAAACGATTTATGAGACTGTTATAGTAAAGAAAAATATTCCTATAATATATGAGTTTTTTATAATATATATTTTTTTTTCTTTCTAATGCAGCTGGCAAGCACAGACATGGACGTCTTGGATGCCTTAAGGCAAGTGCTGCACAGACGTACTCACTTTGCATTACCCAGGGGGCGCGTGTAACTTGAAGATAAGCTACGGACGCGGAGTAACAATGCCCCCGCAACGCTCTACGATCCTATTAGACCGGAACCTACTTTTTAAAGTGGATTCCGAACCACTACAAACAACCATGGCACCGCCGGGACTCGAACCCGAAACCTGTAGTACCGAGCGGCAGAGCGCTAGCCACTCGGACATTCCAGCCCTGAAAAAAATTATTACTGGCCCATGGGGGGATCGAACCCACGACCTTCGCGTTATTGTATAATATATATTAAAATGAGGAAAATATCCCTTTCAATCGACAATCACATCTGTCACATATTTTAACTCTTAATCAAACAACAGCAAATATTTAAAACTAAATCGATCACCTTTATATGAAACATAGCTAAAACAAAATTCAACACTAAATTTCATGATAAATTGCATACTTCCTGCTCAGCTGACACACGCTGAAGTTTCAGAGACATTTATTGCTAATACATAATCACAGGTAGGGGTTACAGACAGTTACACGAGACACTTCTATTAATACAGTTAAGGGGTTACTTGATTTATAGATTGTGATGATCAGTGCTCATTAATCTTTTAATGGTAATTTCCTTTGACGCACCTGACAGAACTGCACTAACTAACCAGAAACTGCGACACACCATTTGGCTGTACCACATCAGCTCAATTTCCATCATAACGCATTAAGGTCTTGAGAAATGTTTTGAATAAGTTATATTTATCCCATGTATTATTTATGTGGCCTTCAATTGGAGATTTAAAATATCAATTATGAGTGCAGAATTGGTGGTCACAACTAATCCTCCAGGGATTTTATTATTGCGGAACCATAACATAAAGCAGTTAAGCACAATTGACATTCAAACTAACACAGTGACCTTTAGTGAAACGCATTTAAGAAATGTGCTTCGAAATAAATATGTTTTGAAAGAAAATAAAAGTAAGAAAAAGTCTTGGGCTTTTTAAAATAATAAAAATTAAAGAAAACATAGAAAATATTTATCCTTCATTTTCAGTTTTTAATCATTCCTCACATACTATTTAAATTCGCTTACAAAAATGTTATTAATTAATATTTATATTTAATTTAAAAGTTTTTAACTATAATTAATATTTTGAAAAATATTTATCACAAAATTATATATTTAATAGTCTGAATTATATCTTCCCAAATGAAATATATTTATAGTGATATGAGGGCCGGTAGATGGAGTGTGAGGTAACAGATCTAGAAGAGGCATTCAAACTTTTGTAAGTGAAATTAAACTGAAAGTTTCTGTGTCTATGCTGGAGATAGGCGCGATTGATACGTTAACTGAAACTTCCCACGCCTTTAAATTCAGATGGAAAATTGTAAATGTTATATAGATGTCTCACTCCATGTTGAACTTTAGCAGCATGACTGAATTTGATACAGATCTCCAATTTGAGTGTTCAATAATTTAAAGCAGCGCACATGAGACAAATTTAATATAGCACTGTATACATAGTCGAAAGGACATCCATGCCCTACTTGTATTTTTCATATTTATTAAAATATAGTAAATATATGGTACAAATGATTGTTCGCGTATAAGAATCCTGAATACCGGAAGTTATAGAACAAAGATTACAATATAGATCCCAAAATGTTAGCAATATAAGTTAAAGTTTCCGTTTACAGTTAACCAGCTCTCGCTTTAATTCACGATGAAAACCAATTTTTACTTATTCTGTTTATGAGTCCCTAGGAAAGTTAATCCCACTCGTGCAACAATGTTGTTAGCAGACCCAGCAATTGTCTTTGGAAGGGTCCCATATATTCTCTCTATACCATACTACAGAAAGGTTTTTAACTTTTCAGATATTTGTTGACCGTATGTGTCCTGTATATGTGCAATGCCATACATTAAAAGTAAATTACTATCCACTGAACTCTTGAAAAGATGAACGTAGAATAAGGGCACAAGATCTCATCTTTATAATTCACAACATTTAAAAAGTTTATGACATAGTCATGGATGTACATGCAGTCATCCAATATAATACTTGTGCCCAAATATCTGTTTCAAGAGTTCTAACCACATTGTTGAATGTTAGAAGATAGTTAATGAATCCCTGATTCTCTGCGGAGAACTTAAGTGAAAAGTAGGTGGTCAGGCCGTGACTCATTAGTGAATAAATATACCCCTCTCCCCGATATCTTGTCCAAGGTCAAAGTTCCAAGTAGAATAATATAAACTGACTCTCCTATTCGAAGCAGTGAATGGGATGTAAACAACGGGTCTTTTTACAAACAGATTTCTCTAGAGTGCTTGGAAACAAAACCACTTTATATTCGGGTTTCTGTTCAACGTGAAGTCACGAAACAACTGAAAAGCTATTGAATTCCTACTGAGCTCTGCTGTAACAGACAAATGCCAATCTTCATTTGCCGTCGTGGCTCTTTTATGACGTTGACCAGGTTTTTCCATTTAAGTATCTTTAAAAGGCTTAAAATAAGTTAGGCACAACACTGGACATGACATTTCAGTTTCTGGCTGTGTACACTTGAGACTGACCTACCACTTTTCTCTCACTTAACCATAGAATTAGGTTTTCCAAACTTTGGTGGTTATTTGTTTTAACTGTTTGCTTTTGAATTTTTCGACCAAACATTTCAAAAAAGTATCATGAAATTTGTAAAGGTGTCTTGAGTGGAAAAAAGCTGAAATTGCCAAGCTGTATCCTAAAGCCCTCTTTGTGCACGAACATTCACGTATACGCTTTTGACACTAGAGATTTGTATTTTGAATTCGTCTTACGTTTCTCAAAGAATCGATAAAATATGCAAATCCTCTTTATTTCGAAACCCCAGTTTCCTTTTTGCCATTATAGAAAGCATTAGTAAACAAAATAACACAATATAACACAAATGTTGCACATTGCTGCATTAAAACTAACATGAACGCACATACAAAAAAAATCATTAAATGATAATAGCGGATTTTGAGGCCAGACATTCTTTACTTAACTCAGATGAATTGGCAGAGAAATCCAAAATCAATAGCAAGATATTTAGCAGTTCTTATCAATAAAACATATTCTTTAACTATATTCCTGCTATTTAATGAGGTAAGCATTACAATTGGCACTGAGAAATAATACAATGTATCCCTAGGTAAATCAAAACTAATTTGGGAACAAAAATCCATTATATGTAAAAAAAATCAGAAGGTTTCCAGTCATACATTTCCATTATTATTTGCATAGTACAGACGAATTGAATAAATTTGTGGAGATTGGAAATCTATCTATAGAAACTTGAGTTATTAAATTCGATATTAATAATAATAAATATTATTTATAAAAGAACTTTAGTATAACAATTTAACAAATACTATAGAATGTAACGCTCGGTAAATTAAAACTCGCGTTATTATAAAAGAATTAAAAAAAAACCATTAGATGGGAAGAAAGATTTTTGCGGCCTTATATTACTACTGTGTCCAAAAAGTAAGACCAATTTTCAATATGAAATTCCCGAGGCTTATGGAATTACATTTTTTTTTTCTTTTTTAGGTTACTGGCATTGTCCTTGACATTGGTGTGAAAGTTGACGTCAAAATGTTCATTAGCGTTTGAGTTACACTTGGCTTTGTGAGACGCTAAAACTAATTCCGGCGATTTTTGTAATGCCTGAATTA